AATTGTGTAGCTGGAGCTGTCTGTGGCTCAGATCATGAGCTTCTTATGACAACATTTAGTCTCCAATTAAAGAAAGTAGGGAAAACTATCAGACTATATAGGTATGATGTAAATAATTTTCCTTATGAATATAAAGTGGAAGTTATGAATAGATCGAAGGGATTAGACCTGGGAAACAGAGTATCTGAAGAACTATGGACACAATTTGCAATATTATATAGGAGGCAGAAAAAAAACATTTCAGAGAAAAAGAAGAGCAAGAAAGCAAGATTACTGGCTAATGAATCTTTACAAATAGCTGAGGAAACAAGGAAAGTGAAAGGTTAAAAAAAGGAAAGATATAGCCAACCGAATGCAGAATTCCAGAGATGAGCAAGAAAAGATAACATTTTCTTAAATGAGCAATGCAAAGAAATAGAAAAAAAATAACAACAATACAATGGGAAAGATGAGGGATCTGATCAAGAAAATTAGAGATATAAAGGAAATGTTTCATGCAAAAAGGGGCATGATAAAAAACCAAAATGTTAGGGCCTTAACAGAAGTAGAAGTGAATAAGAAGAGGTGGCAAAAATATACAGAAGAGCTATACAAGAAAAGTCTTAACATCATTGATAACCACAATGGTGTGATTACTCATCTAGAGCCAGACCTCCTGAAGAATGAAGTCAAGTAGGCCTTAGGATGCACTGTTATCAATTAGGCTAGTGGAGGTGATGAAATTCCAACTGAGCTATTTTAAATCCTAAAATATTATGCTGGCAAAATGTTGCACTTACAATATGCCACCAAATTTGGAAAACTCAATAGTGGCCACTGGATTGGAAGAAATCAGTTACATCTCAATCCTGAAGAAGAGTAATGCCAAAGACTGTTTAAATTTCTGATAAATTACACTCATTTCCCACACCATCAAGGTCATACTCAAAATTCTGCAAGCTTGACTTCAGCATTTCATGAACTGAGAAGTGCTGGAAGAACAGGCTGATTTTCAAAGAGGCTGAAGAACTAGAGTCCAAATTGCCTACATTCACTGGATGACAGAAAAAACAAGGAAATTCCAGAAAAACCAACAAACAAAACCATCTACTTCTGCTTTATTGACTACTCTAAAGCCTTTGGGTGGGTCACAACAAAATATTGTGACCTCAACAAAAATAAGAATACCAGATCATCTCACTCGTCTTCTGAGGAACCTGTATGAAGACCAAGAAGCATCAGTTAGAGCTGAACGTAGAACAACTGATTACTTTAAGATTAGAAAAGGAGTATGACAAGGCAGTACATGGTCACTTCATTTATTTAAATTATTTCCATAGTACATTTCACACTGGATGAATCAAACATCAGAATTAAGGTTGCTGGGAGAAATATCAGTGATCTCATATGTGCAGATGATACTGCTCTGATGACAGAAAGTAAAGAAGAATTAAGAAGCCTCTTGATGTGGGTGAAAGAGGAGAATGTGATTTGGAGCTTAACATAAAAAAAAATACTCATATCTTGGCAAGTATTCTCATCACTTCCTGGCAAATAGAAGGAGAAGAAATGGAAGCAGTGTCAGATTTTATATTCTTGGGTTCAAAGATCAATGCAGATGATGACTGTAGCCTTGAAATTAAAAGGTATTTGATTTTGGAAAGGAAAGTGAGGGGAAATCTGGGCAGCATGTTAGAAAGCAGATATATCACCTTGCCTTGCCAACAAAGCTCCATATAGTGAAAGCTTTCCCCGTAGCAATGTATGATTGTGAGAGTTGGATTATAAGGAAACCTGAGCCCAGCAGAATAGACACTTTCAAATTGTGCTACTAGAGAAGACTTTGAGAGTCCCTTGGAGGCAAGAAGATCAAATCAGTCAATACCCCAAGAAATTAACTCCAGACTATTCACTGGAAGGTCAAATTCTGAAGCTGAAGCTTAAATACTTTGACTACACAATGAGATGACAGGACTCATTGGAAAAGACTCTGATGTTGGAAACAATGGAAGACCAAAGGAAATGGGATGGCAGAAGATGAAATGGACAGGTAATGTCATGGAAACAATCAACATGAACTTGGACTGACTTGGGGAAATAGTGGAAGACAGAAGGGCCTGGTGTGCTGTGGTGCACAGGGTCATGAGGAGTTGTTCTTAACTCAACTACTGAACACCAAAAGACATAAGGACAATACAGTGAAATATTAAAAACAGGAAGAAGGCAGAGTTGATAAAATCTGTCCTAAGAGTCAGCAAGTTCTGGGTTCAAGCCCCATTTTTGACATTTAAAGGGATTTTGTTTGTTTGTTTTGCTTGTACCTTGGGCTACCCAGAAAGTTCTCTAAGTCTTTAAATGCAGTTTAGATGCAATTCTGCTTTGGTAAACACCATGCCTCACTGAGAACTGTCTACACTGAGGAAATCCCCTATTCAAAGCAGATGTACATACATATGTGCATGCATTATGTATATATATGTATGCATGTGTATGTATGTATGTATGTATGTATATGGAGAGAGACAGAGACGGAGACTGAGAGACAGAGAGAGAGATGGAAAGATAAAAATGGACTACTCGATGGATAGATAAATGGATAGATGGAAGGATGGACAGATAAATAGATAGATATGGATAACAGAGATATCTTTATAAATAATGGAATATAACACGACAATGTAAAACTATATTGCACACACAGAGACTAAAATGGAGCTTATGTGTGTCATCAGCCTTTAGACCAGAGTTCTTAACTTTTTTTTTTTTTT